CCCCCCCCCCCCCCCCCCAATGCCAATGGCTTGCAAACTGAACCTGAAATATGTATACTTAGACAAATGAACTTTAATACAAATTATTATATAGAAAAGTACCACAATTGGTCTTAAAAGGTTGATCATATGACCACAACTAAAAGTACACTCAGGTAGTAAAGCGATCATGTATCATAAATCAATAATGGTTATGCAGTCAAGTTACAAAATCAAAGACATTTACACTAAAAATATTTTTCTGTTGATCAAGTGAGTTACTGTATAACTTGTACTATCCGACTGCGCATGGATACATTTTTCTGTGTACTAGCCACTGGCTGCAGCTGCTAATTTTTTTTTCTCAAATATCATAGGAAATGTTTTATAACATTTTTAGGAGGTGCTCTTACCTGAGCTCTATGATTTAGTCAACACATACAAGCCAGAATACATATGGTCTGATGGAGTTGTGGGACCAGACACCTACTGGACAAGTAGAGAGTTCCTTGCCTGGCTTTACAATGAAAGGTGACAGCTGAGAAAGTACTGTATCTCTATCTTAATCATCATGAGCTTTCTAATAGAAATGACCTGCTCCTCATCATCATACACTAACTAAACATTGCATGGCAACTGTCAAGACTGTATGGTACAATACAAGGCTTATTATGCTCATCAAACTTTTCAGTTGGAGTTTTGTGAAACCAGTGCCAAAGTAATCACTGGCCAACCACAAAGGACTTTCTCAATAATCCAGTGTAGGGATTATTAAAGCAAATACTTGCAATCAGTTTGATTATCATGATCATCATTTGCCCATTTTCCTAGTGGAGAATCAGGCTGTAGGCTCTCTGGGCTGTACTCTCTCTGGGCTGTAGGCTCTCTGGGCTGTAGGTTCTCTGGGCTGTAGGTTCTCTGGGCTCTAGGGACTCTGGGCTGTAGGCTCTCTGGGCCGTAAGCTCTATGGGCTGTAGGTTCTCTGGGTTGTAGGCTCAATGGGCTGTAGGCTCTGTAGGCTGTAGGCTCCCTGTCCTCTACAGCTGATGCTGACACTCCTCAGGTTCATAGCCCTTTCTCCTTAAGTTCCCTTTCCACTATTGTAGCCAGCCTGAAGCCTGAGAAAACAGGTATGATTGAGTCACAATCGGTGTGTTTTTTTCATCCAATTGGATGAGGAAGTGGCCCAAGTTTATGAAACTATTTCTTAAATATAGTAATGTGAAACGAACGTAGATGGGAATTACTTTCAACACTGAAGTGAAAACAGCCCTAATAAAGATATATTAGGGGGGATGGGGGAGTTTTCTTAAAAATTGATAAAATCTTTTGTTTCACGTAACTGAGAATTTATTTCATTGATAAGTCTTGTTTTTTGTTCAACATATTTTATAACCCTGTAAAAGACACTGTTGTTACTAATGACCGTTGGTGTAGTAATGGCTGTTCTTGCCACCATGGTGACGTGTACACATGCAATGATCGCTATAATCCTGGTACGTTACAACTTTCTCCTGCTAATCCTGTTCCACCTTTAAGAGAACACGTGCCAAAAGTTCTGAGATGATGATAACAAACCAGAATCATTAATGGTTCTTCCCCTCCCCCCTAAAAAAAAAAGCGGTCGGAGTTTTACCGTATCAAATGCAAAGCCGCACGGCTCATGATCTTATTTCACTGTCTACGTGTTTACACATACGTGCTTACACATTGCCACGTATAAATATGTTGTTCCTTAGGTAAACTTCAGAATCATAAATGGGAAAATGTTATGACTGTGGACAAGTTGTCTTAGGGCTACAGACGAAATGCAGACATTATGGATTATCTGACCATTGAGGAGTTGTTATATCAGCTTGTATCGACGGTCAGGTTAGGAAATAAGCATCACATCAGTATAGGTAATCCAGTATCCCTCTCTGGTAGCTAACCAGGTTCAAAAATTTCTAGTCTTATTGTTTGTTATTTTTTAAAATTGGCGTTATTATCATGTCTGTAAGTTCTGTACATCTACTTTTTTTCCTGGCATCATGAATGGCAGATTTGCACGATGTCGTTATTTGACTACAACTACCTGAATTCCATTCGTTTTTTCGTTGTTATTTAAATTTTGAATTCCCAGTGGGGTTTGAATAACAATTGCCCTAATTAACATGAGAAACAGAAAAAGTGAAGGATTCTGGTAGTTGTAGTCAAATGATGCCATTATGCAAATCGCCTATTCTTTCACACAACCCAGAGGATTAGACGTCCAGCAATGTCCAATCGACTTGAAAAATATAAAGCAAACGATATCTTGTAATGAACGTTTAGGTTAACGAAGTTACGTTAGATGCGCTTTAGGAGCCTTTGGGAGCTATCGGGGGTCGTTGTTTGTACTTACCCGGCATTAATCTCTATAGCTGTGGAGGAAATCTGCTGATGAATGTTGGCCCCATTGCAGATGGAAGGATAATACCCGCATTTGAGGAGCGTCTGCTGCAGATGGGACAATGGCTGTCTGTGAACGGTGAAGCTATTTATAGCACCAAACCATGGAGGGCTCAAAACGACACTGTTAACGAACATGTCTGGTTAGTTTGCTGTGAAGTATTTAGCAATTTAGATTCTAATGGTGAGCGTTTTTTTTTTCCATCAATGGAAAGAGTAGCCTAAAAAATCTCAAAATCAATAATTCATCAAGTTGAAACAGGGAATGAAGAGTGCGACGGTGTTTGGATATCTGATTTTTTACGATTTCATTTCTCAGTTTTCTCCTTAGTTTTAGTTTCATTTGAGAAGATATGTACCAAACACTCAAGACCGTGTCTNTAAGCTCTATGGGCTGTAGGTTCTCTGGGTTGTAGGCTCAATGGGCTGTAGGCTCTGTAGGCTGTAGGCTCCCTGTCCTCTACAGCTGATGCTGACACTCCTCAGGTTCATAGCCCTTTCTCCTTAAGTTCCCTTTCCACTATTGTAGCCAGCCTGAAGCCTGAGAAAACAGGTATGATTGAGTCACAATCGGTGTGTTTTTTTCATCCAATTGGATGAGGAAGTGGCCCAAGTTTATGAAACTATTTCTTAAATATAGTAATGTGAAACGAACGTAGATGGGAATTACTTTCAACACTGAAGTGAAAACAGCCCTAATAAAGATATATTAGGGGGGATGGGGGAGTTTTCTTAAAAATTGATAAAATCTTTTGTTTCACGTAACTGAGAATTTATTTCATTGATAAGTCTTGTTTTTTGTTCAACATATTTTATAACCCTGTAAAAGACACTGTTGTTACTAATGACCGTTGGTGTAGTAATGGCTGTTCTTGCCACCATGGTGACGTGTACACATGCAATGATCGCTATAATCCTGGTACGTTACAACTTTCTCCTGCTAATCCTGTTCCACCTTTAAGAGAACACGTGCCAAAAGTTCTGAGATGATGATAACAAACCAGAATCATTAATGGTTCTTCCCCTCCCCCCTAAAAAAAAAGCGGTCGGAGTTTTACCGTATCAAATGTAAAGCCGGATGGCTCATGATCTTATTTCACTGATCCAGTTACATTTTAAGATATTGTATTTTGTGATAATTGCATGAAAAATGTAGTCGTACTTAAGTTACTTCGTTGCGTTTGTCTTCTCTAAGGAAGTTTAAACAGAAACGTAACTATTAGAGTTTTCCCATTCTGTCTTAGGGAATATTGGTGTCATGTTCGTCAGTTTTTTTCGCATGCAAGATTATGGTAAAATCCGAAGGTGCTCTCATTGTGTTTACATATACGTGTTTATACATACGTGCTTACACATTGTCACGTAAATGTGTTGTTCCTTAGGTAAACTTGAGAATCATAAATGGGAAAATGCTATGACTGTGGACAAGTTGTCTTGGGGCTACAGACGAAATGCAGACATTATGGGTTATCTGACCATTGAGGAGTTGTTATATCAGCTTGTATCGACGGTCAGGTTAGGAATAAGCATCACATCAGTATAGGTAATCCAATATCCTTCTCTGGTAGCTAACCAGGTTCAAGAATTTTTAGTCTTATTGTTTGTTATTTTTTTAAATTGGCATTATTATCATGTCTGTAAGTTCTGTACATCTACTTTTTTTTCTGGCATCATGAATGGCAGATTTGCACGATGTCGTTATTGGACTACAACTACCAGAATTCCATTCGTTTTTTCTTTGTTATTTAAATTTTGAATTCCCAGTGGGGTTTAAATAACAATTGCCCTAATTAACATAAGAAACAGAAAAAGTGAAGGATTCTGGTAGTTGTAGTTAAATGATGCCATCATGCAAATCGCCTATTCTTTCACACAACCCAGAGGATTAGACATCCAGCAATGTCCAATCGACTTGAAAAATATAAAGCAAACGATATCTTGTAATGAACGTTTAGGTTAACGAAGTTGCGTTAGATGCGCTTTAGGAGCCTTTGGGAGCTATCGGGGGTCGTTGTTTGTACTTACCCGGTATTAATCTCTATAGCTGTGGAGGAAATCTGCTGATGACTGTTGGCCCCACTGCAGATGGAAGGATAATTCCCGCATTTGAGGAGCGTCTGCTGCAGATGGGACAATGGTTGTCTGTGAACGGTGAAGCTATTTATAGCAGCAAACCATGGAAGGCTCAAAACGACACTGTTAACGAACATGTCTGGTTAGTTTGCTGTGAAGTATTTAGCAATTTAGATTCTCATGGTGAGCTTCTTTTTTTTTTTTCCATCAATGGAAAGAGTAGCCTAAAAAATCTCAAAATCAATAATTCATCAAGTTGAAACAGGGAATGAAGAGTGCGACGGTGTTTGGATATCTGATTTTTTACGATTTCATTTCTCAGTTTTCTCCTTAGTTTTAGTTTCATTTGAGAAGATATGTACCAAACACTCAAGACCGTGTCTGACCACATTTCCAAACACTTCGAAGCTTTTCAAAACTACTTCACTACGCGTCGTATTTTCAAGTCTCTACTCGGTGTTTGGAGCTCTGGTTCGATGTAGTGGTCATTGTTTCTTTCATTATTTCCAGGTACACCTCCAAGAATGGTACCGTGTACGCCATTACCCTGCAGTGGCCGTTCACCGGTGTACTCACTCTCGGAGCTCCCATCTCCACTGACAACACTCAAGTTACCATGTTAGGTTATGAAAGAAAGTTCGATTGGAAGCCAGCGACCGACAAAGGCGGCCTAATAGTTACAGTTCCTTGCATTCCTACCAACATACTGAAGTCTAAATGGGCCTGGGTTTTTAAGCTGGAATATGTTCACTAAATCCGCGTAGCTTGGGTTTCGTGACCTGCGATCAACGTGAAAACATTTGTTTTTCTTGGATTCAACTATCACCAAAATGTTTCCGTTGTAGGGGTGATTTCTATGTGATCTTGTGCTAGCTTCGTGATACTCGTAGGATTTTACAGCTTGTAACACTGAGACTCGAAATAAGGGAGAAAATAAAAAGATAGGAGTTTTGAAGAGCAAAGTTTGTCTCTGGTTATTTGTTTTTGTATATTGTGCAATGCATGAAACCGCTAGCGGTCATGCCCAATATGCCGGTCTTTCTTGTGTGAACTTAAATTTCTCTGTTATTTTAGCACAGTGTCAGTCGCACCAATCCGAGCAGAAGGAGCTCTTTGGAATTATAGTGGAAACCCGTTAATCCGGTCATCAACGGACCAAACAAAACTAGCAGTATTAACGGGGTTCTTTGGATAAGAAAAAAGAGTGACTGGCTTTTGTTCGGGGCAGAATAAAGTGTTCGTAATAACGAGGTGGCCGTAGCGGGGTTCCACTGAAATATGTAATGATGTCACTCTTAGCGCAGAGATCTCGTCTGTTAGTCTTCCAACAAAGCTAACTTCTCTTAAATCCATCGAACTTCTTTTAAAGTTAGGCACTCATTCCCATGTGCCACGCAGCCATAGTACTGATCGATCAGGTATTGGGAATGTCAAATGAGAAGGGAAGATGGATTATAATCTGCGCTTGGTGGTTTGGTTAACATCATGGCCGGGTTATAAACGTAACGCTAAGGGTGTGTTTCTTAGGTGTGCTGGATCAGGATCAGTGATCCAAGATCATTCGGATCATGCCAATGAATCCACGCCAAGAGTGGTTTCTTTGGTTCTGTTGATAGTTTTGATGGGTGACCATGATGTGACTGATCTTGAATTACTCATCTTGATCAGATCCAGATCAGATCCAGATCACCCCGAAGGAACACACTCTAAGGCAGTTCCTCGCTATCTAAGCAATTCTGTTTCGTGAGTGTTTCCCGGGGTATTTAGCCATCCACATGCAAAATGGAAAAAACGATATCGTTCTCAGCCTGAAGCATCAGTCGGTTTCCTTGCACTCCTTCTGGGCAACAAACACTGGGTAAGATTGAGGTAGCCTGTGTACATCCGTCCCTCCGAGGGACATGACCGATTTACCATATGGACAGTATGTGTTGATCGTTGCAACCATAGTACTGATCGATCAGGTCCCCCACCGCTGGGGTTTGATTTCTCGGTACGTTTCATTTGTATTCTATTCGGATAAATCAGGACCACTGGAAGAGTATGTTCAGCTCCGCATTTCTTGGTATTTTTCTGCGGTACTTTCTATATCGTATATTGAGCGATAAGGTAGTCACATTCACTACTAAAATTGGATTGAGGCCAGAATTGGGATAGAAAACAAAGCTAAATCACCCTTGTAGATGGCTGTGATCACGAAATCTTCATTTCATCTGTCGACAGGTCTGGCTTGAATTCTGGCGAGGAGCGAATTGTGGAAATGAAACATACTACTTTCAAAGATGTCAAAAATGACATGTTTATTAACAACTAGCCTCCCCCCTCCCCCCCACAATCTAACCAACATTTCTTCCCTTCCCTAATTAAAACAATCCAGTTTATCTTTGGCAACATCTA